AGGTTGTACGACGGCAGCATCATGGGGGGGGCAGAACTGTAGTATAGAGGGGTTGGTCAAATGACTGTGTAATTGTTGTATTTGTTGTGTTGGGCTACATCTTCGCTGGGTCTCGCGACACGCCTTCGCGGTACTACGATACATCGGAGGCGCATACGAGGCGGGCGCTGTGATAAGTGCTGGAGGGGTTACCACTGCGAATCGGGAGTCTGTCAGGCAAATCTGATTCTGCTGTTTGACCTTGGGAGCGGACCAAGCTGTTACGTCGGCCGCCATTGCGGGGCCCTCAGGCGCAGAAGACATCAAGCTCCTCTCACGCGAGTCTGAGTAAACCCCTCTTGTATCTGAGAGACTTAATGCTTCTCTTTCTGCCCTTTTCACTCTCAGTCTAGTCCATTGGTTTGGAGAGGAAGGCGGCAGGCGGGATTGCAACCCGTAATCCGCGCCAACGCCTTTGTGGGAGGTTGCCCCACCGATTGCGGGAGCCCTGCCGGAACTCAGGAGGAGTTCTGGAGGCAGAGAACTCAGAGGTATCCTTTGCTTCCCCTTGTAAACCCAGTATAAACCCTATCTACAGTCCTCTCTGTGTATTGGCTCGCTATGCGGAGTGCAACCCTTAGTTTGACTTTTGGGATAGGCTTTCAGGACACAAATCAAACTAACTAAAGGAATGATTGTATAATGGCAGTTTCGGTTTCTTGATTGTCTGAAGGCAAATTGTCACAATGGGTTGCATCATGGGGAAGGTTGGGAGGAAGGCAGTTTGGCTTGCGATTGAACGGGTCTTACAGGGTCAGGCATTGTTTCTAAGATAAATGGTCTGACAGCTCTGTTTTGTTCAGTTTTCTGAAGAACCAAGCATTAGTTCTAAGATGAATGGTTTGGTTGTTGTGTTTCTTTAATTGTGCCAGGCATTGTTTCTAAGATGAATGGTCTGACTGCTTATTTTTTAAGGATATTATTTGCTTGACTTTTGAGGGCCACACATTGTTTCTAAGATGAATGGTCTGACCGTTGTTTACTTGGGTGGTTTCTGAACAGTCCCTGGGTCAAACCCAGGGTACTCTGCTTTATTGTGTGATGAAAAGGGGAGAACTGAGCATTGTTCCTAAGATGAATAACTCATCTCTCCTTGATTGTTTTATTCTGGGGGGGGGGATCCAGGACCATAGGACTAGACATTGTTTCTAAGATGAATGGTCTAAGTCTGAGGCCTCATGACCATAATAAGAACCAAGGAATAAGATTTTCTATACTATGATATATATATGTACTTATATACGAACAAGGCTAGCCAGACATTGTTTCTAAGATGAATGGTCTGGCTATAGCCCTATCACAAGCGAAGAGAGTATAATCGAGAGCTATAACTGAAAGTAATCTGGCAGGCTGAGCATTGTTTCTAAGATGAATGGCTCAGGCCTACGCCCTCCTTTTGAAGACTAAGGTGCAGAAAGGTATATACAACTTGGCTATTTAAACAGTTCAGGGTGGCTAAGCATGGTTTCTAAGATGAATGGCTTAGTCATATGCCCAATGAAGAGAGAAATAGTTGTGCAACCTGTTCGTGTATAACTAAGGCAGAGGGCTGACATTGTTTCTGAGATGAATGGCCAGTCCTAATGCCCTATGTAAGCAGGGTATAAAAGGTTAAAGCACTGAAAGACTATGAACTAGTGTTTGCTAAATCAACTTGGGGATGGTGAGAGTACTTACCTTTGTGGTTTAGTCTGCATGGGCCTAAGTGGTATCGCTACCTAGTCAGAGTTTGAGTTGGTAGGTAGTTGTTGTAGAGGCTCGCCACGTGCTAGAGTTGTAGGAATTAGATTCAATTCCTGCATTTTTTGAGATAGGTTTTTCACTTAATTTGATTTCTGCATTTATCTGAGTTTTTTTCTCATACTTGAGTTTGTATATATCTTGGCAAGTCGCTTTTCCTACATGAAGCGCTGCCGAAATTTCTGCAAATCCAAGGAGTTGGTCAGATTTAGATTTTTCACAGCTCAGCTTGTCTAAGTTACATATATGGCCTAATAGAAATCTGGAAAGTCTCCCTTTCTAAAGGGAATGCTGCCCAAATTTTTGCTAGTTCAGGGAGTTAGACAGAATTGAACTTTGAAAAGTCAAAGACTATTCTTGTTTTTGTATTCAGACTTATATAAATTCTGGAAAGACAGTTTTCCTACGGGAAGCGCTGCCGAAAATTTCTTAGTTTAGAGGAGTTAGATTATATTATGACAGTTGGCAGGGTTGGCAGTCCACTCTGTATAGGGGAAGCCCAGCCAAAGGTCTACCTTCTCTCTGAGCCCTGACCTAGGACTAGGCTCAGACGTAGTTGGCTATAAGGAGGTTAAATGAGATTACCATATAGAAGATAGTTTGCATAAGGCTTACGGGTTTAGTCTTGGGCGTTGACCAATCTTATGTTATAGGCCGGCTTGATCAATTTGATTCAGGACTTGGGCTAGTTCAGCTTGATCCTGCAAGGATCATCATCTGTTATCACTGATAACAGGTCGGTTGCTGATTCGTCGGTTAAACGACTCAATTTCTTACTCGCTCCCTATACTCAACCTAAAAGGCTTTAGCCCTTGTGATCTTCTTGTTTGTTAAGGCTTTCACCGGATTTTTATTGAATGGTCATTTGACAAAGGTACTGAGTATTTAATTAAGGTTGGTTGGCTAGTAGTTGGGGCTTGCATGGCTAAAGCGAGGGGTATGAGTATAGGAACTGGTTGGAGTTGACTCCATGTAGTGTATGGACTCTTGTTTGACTTTGATGTGATTGCATGTATGTTCAGTAGCTTGGGGTTTTGGTTGGACTGCCTTGCGGTCGCACATATATGTATGGCTAGAAGGAGACCCACTATGACTGTGAGAAGTGAT